TTAAGATTGTTTGAATTCAGTACCTTTAAACCACTGAAAAGGTGTTCAATCTTTTGCCTTGGCTTCTCTCAGAATGCCTTTTTTACTCCATTATTTTAAATGTATGGTAACTGAAAAAGTCACCTGAACACACTGGAATGCATTGCTCATGCAGTAAAACTGATTTTAACTGTATGAAGTCTTTGGATTTCAAATGAAGTGTTGTCTTAAATGGGGACTTTGGCTAGATAAGATTGGAGAAATACAATCTATATGTACTTAGAAACAAAAAGAAGACTAAGACCATAGGAAATAACCTGCATTAAAAGAGTAGCATTGAAGAGCTTAGTTCTAGGTAGAGGTTTCCTAGATGTGCTGCCTAAAATACCTGCCCAGGCCTCCCTCAGGCTTACTGTAAATACTGTTTCTTAACTAACATGAATTTTAACAAATAGAAAGGAGAAAAGCTGAGGGAGGAATGCAAGCCTTTTATTTAGAATTATGCTTTAAACAAAGTGCTTGCAGTTTAAATTAATTCTTCTAGTTCTTCTCTAGGCTTTCAGCTTAGTCTTGAAAGTAGCACTGGAGGTGTCATTCTGTACCTGAGTTTGGCATACGTGCAGCCCCAGGAATCTGGTTTGTCTAAATGTGCTCTGTTCTCTTATTTCTAGCTTATCAGTCCATATCTAGGCCCTTACTTAATTTTTCCTTTTCCCCAGTAAAATTTCAACCCAAGCTCAGAAGAACAGAGAATGTAGTTCATGTTCAACTCTGGCCGGACTAGGTCTGCTACTTTATGTATATCTCACCTTTTGCTCACCTTGAAGAGAGCTTTACTGCCCGAGTGGAGAGTTTGGAGACAGGAGTGATGGGATGGGAATGGCACAGAAAAAGGAGTGGCAACTGGGAGCATTTGAGGGGGTTTTTCCTGGGACCTGTGTCTTTTTTTCAAGCCTAAATTCTGTGCCTTTCTTGACTAAGAACACCTGGTATGGAAGCAGTAGTGATGTGGCAAAGAATTGTTGCTCGATCTGTTCTAATTAGAGGAACACAGGCTTGGGAAATGCTGGCTCCGTGGCAGAGTGTTAGATTTTGGTTTCTAAAAGTGTGCAGAACATCTTGCCTGCATACTGTTACACCATGAAATATTTGCATTGTGCCATAAGATCAGTAGAAAAATATTCCAGCTGTAACAATAATAGTGCAGAAACCAAGAAAGATTACTATTTGAGGAACCATTAGGTTTAACAGGAATGTATGTTGGATCTTGTGACTTTTTTGAGGCGTAAACTCTGCTTTACATTGCAGAGGAGGGCAAAAACAGGAATGGGAGAAAAGAGGCAATAAAATTCACCACCCTGGTAGCTCCAGATCTAGAACTGAGTTTAATCAGAAGTATATCTTCTGACTGGCCAGAGCACCTAGGAAAATATTTTGTTGTTAAGAGCACCAGTGCTGTAGGTTTGCATTCTGTTTCTAGGTATGGGTAACTTCTGTTCTCATAACTTCTCTAAACCTTTGTTTAGCCTAGCAAAAAGGACAAGCTCTTCTGATTTTTATCTATATAAAAGACATTGCTAGATCCTAACTCTTCCATTTTTTATGTCGGCTTCAGTCCCTCTTGTTGGACACATGTGCAGGTTTATTCATTCAGTATTTCATATGAGGTGTTATGCTTCGTAAAATTCTATGGATACCTTCCTGTTTCTACTGAACTAAGCCTTTGTTAGTGTATTTTAGAATTGAATTAACTACTTGCACATCTACGTGTAGCTTGCTAGTTTTCCTTCTGTTAGCCAGAACAGCCAGGCATTTCTTCTTCCTTCATCTCTTCTTTATAGCTATAGATTTTAAGATTGATCTTACGCAAATTTTTTAGTATGATGGTCTGTTCTTTCTTAGAGTGGGTGCTATTTTCTGACTGTGCTACCCAGGGAGGTGGTAGAGTCAGCATCTCTGCAAATGTTCTGGAAATGAATGGATGTGGTACTTAGTGCTGTGGTTTAGTCGACATGGTGCTGTTTGGTCAAAGGTTAAACTTGGTCTTGGAGACTTTTTTCCAACCTTTATGATTCTATAATATCTTATCTACCACTTTTAATACCAATTTACTGCATAGCATTTAATTTTTCTCTCTGTCTTACCTGGCTTTTATCTTTAACTTGTTGATTTATATTTCAGGAATTATTGAAAATAACATCTCTTTGTTGCCCTGCTGTAAATGTTTCTGGGTATGCACTATCTCATATATTCAAGGAGTGCCTGCTATATGGCATACAAGTCTTTGCTCTGCGGTAATAAATTTGCTTTCCTCTTGATCTCATTGCAGAAAGGTAGAGTCACAGAGAGATGCAATAACTCAGAATATAATTGAAAATGGTGTTGCTGGTAGAAATCATATGCAACCTTAAGCTACTTGGTCATTTTTTTTATTTCTCACTGAAATGTTTGGGTAACAATCCAAGGCAGAGTTTTACCTTTGAACCAAACTTAATCTCCTTCTATTTTGAATCATTCAGAAACATAGTATGTGGTTTTGCTTATGTAGAAAAAAAAAGGTGTTAGATAAATATCCTTATCCTATGTCCTACTTACATGTAAATAAGTAAGCACATAGGATTTTCCTGCATTTCTGCATACCTTATCTAATCTGTGGGTTTTGGTGGGTTTTGCTTTCAAATAGCCTTTGTACCTCTGAATATTTTGGGCTGTGCTTGCCAGGGGCAAAGCTGTAATGTAAGTATGAACTTCATTCTTTGTGGAAAATAAAAAGTTTGAAAAATATTGAAGTAAGCCCAAAAGTGCTAAAGTGGCTCTTGCCCAACTTAACATTGCACGTATATTGGAGCCAGAAAAGACAATTTAAAGGATTAAAAAAAGAAACAAGGGGGATGCTGAGTAAACAGGGCAAACTGGTGAATGTAAAATGACTTCTGTCAGGTTAGCAGCCAGCAAGGGCCAGGAAGCTATGGAAGAGCTAGAAGGATGCTATAGTAAAGGTTGCTAGGCTACTCCAAGGTAAGCTCTTACAGAGTGCTACTCAGCTATGCTGAGCATTTTTACTGCCCAGCTGCTAAGTTATGTGTGTGTAGTATTGTTTGCCTGGCTACCAGCCGGAAAGGGAAGTTTGAACTGCTAAGAAATGTTGTCCCTTTGTCGGATGAAACTTGGTCACATGCCAGTTATTACCTTTTGCAAGACTGACTGTTTTTGGTTTCGGTCACATTGACTGACAAGGAATGTCAGGAATTCTGCTGAACATGTTTGAAATGGAACAGCAAACAATAGGTCTTTGATTCAAGTATAAAAGTATAAAAACTTGCCTGAATTTAACCTGTTCTGGTGGTTCTCATTGGTGAGTTCTTGGTTTGTCTGTACCATTTTGGCCTTCATTTCTTTTGCACTGTTAAGAAGCTTATTGAAAATAGAATGTGGGTTCTTTTCCTTTTATCTGGATTTGATGTAATTTTTGAAATATTTGTAAGAGTTAATCTCTACCAGTAAGAATTATTTCTTTCAATTGCAAGTGCAAGGTCATCAGTTTTTCTTCTGTAAGGGAGGGTAAGTCTTTGTCTGCTGTTTTTGTTAATGGATGTCCTGTACTGTGTCTTGCTGTATATGCAGGTAGAAAACACAAATTTACGCTTCTTACATGTAATTTAATTTTTGGTCTTTGTCCAAGGAGATCACTTTAACAGAAAGTTAAAACTAACAGTTACTCTCACAAACAGTGACAGAGGAACTGAATATGTAATTAAAATAATAGTGTGTTAAAATGATTCCTTTCCATCTGTTGTCCCCTTCCTTGAGAGCTCTTACACAATTACCCAGTTCTCTTCTTGTAACACTGTTTCCTGAAGAGGTGCTAAAACTCTGCCAATAACATTGTCTCATGAACAAGTTGGGCACTGTAGGATGCAACAGCAAAAAAAAGGATAACTTACTCTTTAACATTCATGAAGGTGGAGTGTTTATAACATAAAAGGAACTGGATCCAAGTCCAGTGGCCTGTTGCCAGTTGGGAACTCCCAAGGCAAACTAATTCCCCTGGCAGATAGTTTCCTAACTTTGTTCTGATTTGTGGCCCAGGGATTTCATGAAAATATACTAACTTTTTTTGATATAAATTCCCCATATCAGTTGACTTCTGTGAATTTATGGAGATTCTCTTTCAATCTATGTTAAATAATAATATTCACATACCATGCCAAGAATTCCAAAGTTCAGAATCTTGTTGCAAAGTTCACCTATGTGTTGTGTGAACGACTGACACGTGTTTGATTCTCACCTGCTAATTTTACCAGTGGTGTCCGTTTCTTGTAGTGAGAAACTTTGAACAATTATTGCCTCTAGTTTCCTTCATTAATGAGGCATTGTTATATAGATTTTTGTTTGCAAATGTTTCTTTTCCTAGGGGAAGGCTTCTTGTCTACTAACCATTCCTTGTAGCTGTGGTTATGTTGTTTTGAGTACCCCACTTGTGTCCCATGCCTCTTTCAGTTGTTACACGCTTTCAGAGATGAGGTAGGGCCAGGATTGAGTGCACTATTAAGAGTGCATTTTCTACAGTGACATAGTGTATCCTGCTCTGTTTTATCAGTCTTTTATAAGAATTCTTAACATTTGTTCTTGGTTTACTACTGCCACTGGTTTGTTATTCCAGAATCTTGCTGCAAAGTGAATAATTTTCTGACAGTCTGTCATCCTCTGGGATATTAGGATTCTGGGCTTTCTTAAATGATCTGATTTACTTTCCATCTCCGGTGTATTTCTTTTGCTAATTCAATTTATGCTCCTACGGTTGCATAAAGAGCTCATGACACTGTAGGTATTTCTTGGTTTTATAGCTTGGAATAGCTTAAAATTATAAAAAAACCTTTTAATGCATATAAAAATTGCAATAATATTTTCACACACTAAAAGTATACAATTATCTGTGCAATACAAGTGTATGTGAAATTATTAACAGGAATGTATTTTTTATTGCCATTGCATTAATTTTTAAACTCAATCTTTTGCAGTTTTATTGCTTGAGAAGATGGAACATGATGACATTTGTAATAAAACTCTGAAGATTACAGACTTCGGTCTGGCTAGAGAGTGGCACAGAACAACCAAAATGAGTGCAGCAGGAACTTATGCATGGATGGCTCCAGAAGTTATCAAGTCCTCCATGTTTTCTAAAGGAAGTGATATTTGGAGGTAAGAAGTTTGTCTGCTGAAGACCATGTTCAGTGGAACTGTGTTGAGGGTTTTGACACAATTTTTTTTGGTGTTTTACTAGATTACTGCCTCAACGTATGGCCAGCAAACGCATTTTTAAGTATCCACTTCAATTGTTACACCTTTTATTATCTGTTACTTACAAACTGGGGGAGGAAGAGGGAAAATAAAGAATATTTTTTTTAAAGCAAGCTCTCATTAAGAGAAATCTTTAAAATATTTGTTGGTTAATATACCCAAGTGTTTCTCTGGAGTCTTAATATAAATAACTGTATGCTCTTGATACATTAATGTATGATTGATCTCATTTTAGTACGTTTATTTTGTATTAGATGTCTGAAAACTCTCAATCCACCTAAAAGCGAGACCAAGGAATTATTGCTTTATATGTCTGATAAATAGTAAGGTGCAAACCAGAACTTTGCCAAGTGTTAGCTTGAATTGGTGCTGTTTTTAGGAATCTGGAATGTGATTGTGTGTAAAAGTTAATACTAGGTTGAAGCTTCTACATTTACAGAGATTTTGCTTCCAGTAGCTGGAGTAAGGAGAGTGTATTCAGCACAAAATTGTTTTAACTTGCTCTCTAATTTTAAAAGTGGGAAATGCCCTGTGTTAAATTTGTGAATTTCTCATTTAAGATGTTATTGTGGATAATATAAATAATATGGCTCTCGCTACTGATGCTATTTTTGAGTAGTGTAGTGTGGGATACATGTACTGTAGAAAAGTAATTTAAGCTTTAGTATTAATTTAGTTCTGTTCTGTGAGTGCAGAAAAGCAGTGATTGCACAATAGGCTCTAAAAGCTGCTGTGCCCCACCTTGAAAAGTCTGCATTTCCTTTCTTTTTGATATGTTTTCTCTGAAGGCACCAAGATAGCTATTTGGGAAAGGAGGGGAGGACTTTAATCTGTTTTCTCCTGCTGCTTAATGCATGTTCTTTACTGTATGATTCTTAAATAGGGTCCTATTTTGCTTAGATGCATGATATTCTACAGCATGAAGCTTCTGGTATTCTCGTGATGATTCCGTATCTGCACTGCTGTTTTGTGACACTCATTTGTCTTGCCTATGGGACTAATTTTATTTGCATTAGTCTCAGTTAATGCCCAGTTGGGAAGCATCTTTGACCTCATTCTTTTTATTTCCATTCTTTCTTACTTTTTTCTTAATTTTTTTTTCTTTTGCGGGATGGAGGTTGGGTGTAGGCGTTTCCCTAATCAGCTGTATTCCATGCTTAATTACAGGTCCTGTCCAGTCTTGTTGCTGTGATTTTAGGTATCTGAGGGGGTATGCTTTGGTGCAATTATTTTATATTCTGCTGCAACATTAGTTTACATTTTTGGAACCTACAGTATTTCTCTTCTTCGCCTTCTCTTCTGCACGCCTCTCTTGTAAAAATGTAAGTATTTAGTTCAATGATGGAAGTCTAACAGGAGAGGTTTTTAAGTAGAAAGGCTGTGTTTTGCAGTATAGTTTAGACCTTCTTAGCTTCTAAACATTTTCTGCTCACTGCACTTTGATCTATTCTGTTGCTTATCTTTACTCTTTCTTTAAAAGATAAGGAAATAAAGAATATCCTGCTTACAGGAGTGGTTTTTTGTTTTTAAAAGCCTTCAGGTTTCCAGTTTAAGTATATGGGTCTTTCTAAGACAAGAACACCGTATGTTTCAGCAAATTTCTGAACCTCAGTTACACATACTGAGTGCTGAGGCTCTGAATGAAATCTGCAGACCTCTTTTTAGGAAAAAAAAAAGAAGAGCAATTGAGGTGGCTCAAGTTGAGGCAACTCACACTTTCCAGCTAGTCTTCCAGAATCTGCCAGTGCTCAGAAATGTTGTGGGAGTATTTTCATGTGATGCTCATTTGTCTTGTTCCTTCCAGGCTGCAGGTTCTCAGGTGTCATCCTAGATAGAGCTAGTGCTTTCCAGGCCCTGCACATGTATCCTTTCGCTTTCCAAACCAGAGCTTTAACTACCGTGTTATTTTACTCTGGCACACGCTTCCAAATTCCCAGACGAGTTCTATTCCTCCAACCCTACCCTTCCATCAATCATCACACATTTCTGAGTGGTATGTCAGTCTTGGTTTTGTGTAAAGCCTGAAAGTGCAAATATGCCCACAGATTTCCAAGTGCTGATGGTGTGCTTCAGCAATGGTCTTTAGAGTAACTTGTGTCCTGCTTGTACAAGCCCTTGGCAAAGCCAGGAAGCACCTACTGCACAGCAGAATTAGCAGTTGCTTTTGCCTGGAATATTTGGATAAATTTGAAGTGATTCATATAGCAGTGCTTAGTAACCTCTTCTCTGGAAGATGGCATGTAGACTAAATTAAACTTTGAGAACCTTACCTTCAGATTTTCAGTTCCTAAAATATATAAAACCAAGTTTTCACTGGAGTGAGATATAGTGAGGCTTAAATCACATTTGATTGAAGGAAAATAGTTTTAGTAATGAAAATACTTAACATATATTTGGAAGTGTATTCGTTTTTGTGGTTTAAAAATATGTATTTCAATGACGTATGTGGTCATGTGGCTTTGGCCTTTTGCTGATGAAGGAAAGGGACATGGCTTTTGCTCTTAAAAAAAAAAGCTATTTCTTAGAAGCTCAGCTGTATTCATGAGACAGTTGTGTGTGAGCTGGTGAAATTTAATGCACGGAATAGCTAGTGTAGTTCAGTGAGTTAACAAGTAGTTGTTTTCCTAGGTAATGGCAGATTAGTACCTCCCAGAAACTCCAGTGTATCAAGATCATGTCTTTAGGCTTCCTCCTTGCAGTTTTTCCCCCATAGTGCTGGCTCTTGGTGCTTGACATTAAGACTGCTTTCATTAAAAGGCTGCTACTGTTTAAAACTTTGCAACCACCTACTTGGCACTGTTGAGAACTCTTTAAGATTAAAGGCTTGAATTGTAAATACAGCTCAAGCTAATAGTGTGACACAACTTTTTTATAAAAGGTGACTTTATTTTAGTTAAATTTAATGTTTTGCTTATCTCCAGAGTTCATGCTAAAATACATATGGAATAGTTTGATCAAGGGAATTACTTGAATTTAGAACAGTCTGTACTTGCTGAATGATTTTTTTTAATGCTTTCTCCAAGGACACAGATGAGCCGTAGTTCAGGAGAATTCCTCCATGAGGCATAAAATGTGTATGTACCACAGGAAGTGTTGTATTCATTATGGTCAGAACACCACTGTTTTAAAACAAATTGGAATTCATTATTTTAACTGTTTTTGAGTATACTAGAAAACGCAGAAATTAGACCAGAAAAATCAGGAGGATATTAAGAAGCTCAAAACTTTTAAAATTCCTTTTCCTTTTGGCTGTAGGTGCAGACTGTTTTCTTCAGCTTTTGGTGAAGTGTTAGTAAATTCATTAGGTTTTAAGATTTTGTGGGATGCAAAAATTCTCAAAGAGACCATAGATAACAAAGTACTGCTGATATTTGTGCTGATATTGTGTAGTTTGCTGTTTTATTATTTATTAAAGTGATGTTGTAAGGTGTTGTATAATGCTGACTGACTTTTTCTCATTAAGCAGACAGTGATAGAAAACTGTAACTGGTGTGTGTTCTTCTCCCTGTCGTATCTGCTCCACTTGAGGTGTAATTTCTAGTCCTAAGGATTGCATAGCCCTCATTTCCCCAGTGCAGAATGCTTTCTTCTCGTGTTGAAGAGTTCAGTCTAGTCCTGCAAAACTTGCAGGTGGTTTCTTTGCACACTTGGAGAGAAGGGGCAAGAGCAATAGTTAGTATTCTGTTTTTTCCTTTGCCTGCTCACTTTACCATTCAAAAGTGCCAATAGGTTGTCCTTTGTATCTACAGGCAGTGGTTCCCTGGCAGGAAGAGAAGTGGAAGGGGTCTGGGAGATGAAAGGAGGAACATAAACCCAAATCCAGTCATAAAGTTCACTTTAGGCTAACATTCTGAAAGAAGTAATTCCCACTTCCACAAAAATGACTGTGAAACCTGTCCAATTCAGTGGTGGTAGAATAGGAGCTCTAGAGCCACAGTAGCCAGCCTACTGTCCCTGCCCTTTGTAGGGGCTTGGGTCATTTGAACAAGCCAAGCACTGGGCATACAGACGCAAAGAAGGTAAAAGCAACACCTGGCTCTTCTTTGGGTAAAGAGCATTGCAGAAATTCTTACAGCTCTTGTTACTGTAATAGGAATTCCCTTGATTCTTGATTTCTGTACCCAGAACTGAGAAAAGATCTCTTTGTGCCAACACCTTTCGCTGGAAACAGTGTTGTTTTGTTTGGATTTTTTGGGTGGGATTTTTTCTAGAATGGAGAAGTTAGTTGTGTGTGCATGAAATAATTCCTCAATCTTGTTGCATCTTCAAAGGGAAGTGACAAGTTAACTGGCCTTTATGGGATTAGAAATGCAAACTTCCAGATAAAGATAGTTGGGGTTTTTTTAAATAACAGTAACAGTACAGAAAACTCCTATGTCCCTCTAGGTAGATTGTTGTGAAATGTTTGGAAAGGGAAATGGCCTGAATGCTCTGCTGAGGATTTCTTTTTATTGTTTGTTTGCTTTTTGGTGGGAAGAAGGTTGCTTGTTTTCCTGTCATTCAGACTGCCTATTTTAAGTCAGATTTATGTGAAACTAGCATTTCTATAGAAGTGGCTTCAGGCTTACATTTCGAATAAGAGTGCGAGCCAATCTTCAAGTTGCACCCAGTAAATGTGAACAATGACAAAAGTAGAGCTGACTTTAAAACATTCACCTTTGACTGGGAAATCTTCATGAATTCTGAGTACATGGTTGGACAGATACTTGTTTGTGTTTTCTTGTGTTCTTGTTGTTTCTCAGAAAATAACTGTTTAAAAAATTACCTTTTGTAGTTATGGAGTGTTGCTATGGGAGCTGCTTACAGGAGAAGTGCCTTACCGTGGCATCGATGGCCTCGCTGTGGCTTACGGAGTAGCTGTCAATAAGCTTACTTTGCCCATTCCATCCACCTGCCCTGAACCATTTGCAAAACTAATGAAAGGTATCCACGTTGTTTCTTCCTATGTATTGAAAAAGTTATGTTTTGGGGATATGAAATAATCATGAGGTTGCCAAATAAGAACCTCATTTGATAGTGTGCTGTGTACCAAGAATGCTCTTTTTCTTTACACAGCAATCTGGTGTTCCAGATTGGGGTGTGTTTCTGAGGGAGCCTTACAGTTACGGTGTTGCATTTAAGTTTTTAAGTTTTTCAGTAGCAACAGTACAGTACAGTTTGTGCTCTGGTTTTACAGATTTTGTTCTACTCTAAAATTGCATTAATTTTCATAAATTACAAGATTATACTATGGATTAATACAAGATTAAGATTAAAATCTCAAGGGGAAGAATTGCAAATGCCTTTTTTTTCATTGTTTCTTCCTGAATGTCAAAAATATTTTGGAAATATTTTAGAGAGAAATAAACTTTGCTTGCTAATCGCTATTTCCTTGTGTTTAAATGAATTTTTCTACCTTTTTATGTATTCCTTCCTTACAATATTGCTCGTTTGGTATTTCAGATGCTAAAAATAAACAAAAAAAATTTCACTATTAATACAAAAACAAACCTCTGAGTACAAGTAGGTAGATGTAGGTAGAATACAGATGTCACCTCTGTAAATTGAGACAGGACTGGAGATGTCTTGCAGGTATGGAGAACACATTATAAATTGAAATGCAGTAGCAAGTAACTTGAAATTCACGTAGTTCTTCAAAAAGTTCTATGTGCTATTACAAACTGACGGGATTTTGATAAATTCTAGAATGCTGGGAGCAGGACCCTCATATCCGACCATCGTTTGCCTTAATTCTTGAACAGCTTACTGCCATTGAAGGGGCAGTTATGACTGAAATGCCTCAAGAGTCTTTCCACTCCATGCAAGATGACTGGAAATTGGAAATTCAGCAGATATTTAATGAATTGAGGACCAAGGAAAAAGTAAGTTGATTTTTCCAATTGAATGGCACTGAAGTAAGGGTATGTGTGTATGTATGTTTATGTGATACAGCAGTTTTGAACTTCTGAGTTGTTGCTTACCAATGTACTCATGCAAATATACATACAGTTGAAAAAGAAAGATATCCACATCTGTCTCTCCAAATAAAACAGGTTGCAGATCTGTAGATGTGGCATTCTAGACTCTTTTTAAAAATGTGTTATTTTTTTCTTGTATGCTTGCATGTATCAATTGAATTGAATTTATCCCTTAAACTAATCTTTATAACACAAGTTTTCAGCTGCTATTGAACATTCTTCTCAGCTGTAAGAATGAAAAGCCTTTCATCCTGTTATGCGACTGTATCCCATGGCTTCTTTTCCAAAAATGGAATTGTGCTTTTATCTCTCTTCTTGCTGAACAGGCTGATCATATGGATACCTTTCAATGTTGCATTTTGGGACATATTCTTGCCAGATATTAATAAGGTCAAGATCAGACACATGAATCAGCAAATCTAGCTTCTTTTGTTTATTACTCAGATTTTTGTCACTGATCTTCTTTCCATACTCTCACATTGCCGTATGTTTGTACTAAATGAATACTCACTGTCAATTCTCCTTGTTTTCTCCAGTACTCTCTTCAACTTGGTTTTAACTACCCTGAGCTTTATATTTTCCTTTAGACAACTTGATAAAGATAACAGTTGGAATAGGCCAGGTGTGCTTCAGTCCCTGTTAGAAATGCTTCTGGAGGAAACAGATTCCTTCTTTGCAGCTGTTTCATGCAGTATAATTATTGCCCGGTATATATTTGCTGTTGTTTTTTCATGAAGTGATTGTAGACAAGGAAGTCAGTAAATTGAGGTGCAGTGATTTGTGAAGAAATTTCATAGAAGATGTAGTTGCCAAGTTCGACAAAAGCAAGAACTAAACTCCTGTCTTTCAAGACACTGTTGATAGCCTTTGTCCTTCACTTGTTCTCATCAAATGTCAGAATGGCAGTGTGTGGACTTCAGGCTAGTGTTGGGTGTGACATTACATATGTATTATAATATCAGCATAGTGATATTAGAATTTACTGGTCACCCATAAGATTGCAGTATCATTAGGTACTTCCTATCTACTGTTTCTTCTGCCCTCTGCATGTCCCTCTTCATTTTGGTTCACAGAAGTGGATGAGTATGTGGTGTGGTCTGCTCTGCCTGCAGTAGGCATACAGAGTGCTAGAGCTGAGCTGTGTCCCTCAGGAGCTGCCAGGTCTCTTCCTTTGCACTTGAGTTATAGTCCTTCTATAGAGAGTAGAGGCTTCCTTTTTTTACTTGCTGTGGGGTCACCAGCTACTGCATTCACTTGCCTCAACCTGCCATAGAACGTAAGTCTGTTTTTGGCCCCTCCAGCAACTGCTCAACCAACCATTTTCCTCTTTTTACTCTGGGAGCAATTGTAAGAGGCCTTCCTGTTCAGGTTTTGTGTTTATTTTTTGTTTTTCCGGAGGCATTACTTTAGTATGAGATTTCCTATCCAAGAAAAATCTGACTAAATCAAGTCTAGGATTAAATAAGCAGATGAAAGAGTTTACAAGAAGAGTCTTATTTTTGGTGTGAAAGTGAGTTAAGCTCAGGTAGGGAGGGGAAAAGATAAAATGAAATTTACTCTTTATCTGCCAAAGGAAGTGCATCTCCAGAGCACTTGGTAATGAGGTATACTTCTTTAAGATTGTAAACATGTAACTTTGACTTAGACAAGGTTTTTATATATATGCAAGGGTTTTTAATTTGGCGCATTATCAATTTTGCTATGAGCTACTAGAAAGAAGGTAATGTCTGTAAAGTATTTATATAATAATAATAAAGCAAAAATCCTCTGCATGGAGTCTCATTCCTCCTGTAAAAGAGGAACTTCAGTAGCTGAAGGAATTTCCTCAAGGGCTTACTGCAAATGAGTGATGGTGATGCCTACTCGAAAAGAAGATCACAATCTTATTTTGACAAATGTTCTTGAGCAACTGAAATCTAGAATTCTTTCCAAGCTTCCTTACAATGGGTGTTTTAATTGTAGAGTGGTGTGGAAACATTGCCTAACTAATTGCAGTAAGTCTGGTTTTAATTAGTTTATTTGGAAAAGAGTAAATACTTAATCTCTCATTGAGGAAAAACTTACTTCCTCTAGACTGTCTACCATTTCAGTGCAGGCCTTCAATTTTTGCCTGGTTGCTGAGCTTTATGAAACCTGGATTTGAAGGCTGTGAAAGGTGGAAAATCAACAATGTCTCCTAATGTACCTTTATTACTGTACTAATGCAGTAGTAAAGATCTTCTCTATTTAAACTTTAAAGTATCTTTTTTTTCTAAATATGAATTAATGTAGTTTCTACTTTCAACCCTTGTTTTAGGTTGCCCTGTTTTGAGTGGACATAGGAGGAAAGTGAGGATTTTCAGGAGTCTCTATATTAAGTTATTAGATATCTTTATAAAAAAAACAAAACCAGAGCAAACAGAAGAACAGAACCCAAAGCATTACTTGTTCACTTTGAGGGCAGGTTCCTTTGAATTTCCAAGAGGCAGAATTGCCTTTAGCATGACACTATATGTTAAGTGGGTCAATTAAAAAATCATTTGTTTCCGATATTGTGTTGAAACAAGCTCACTCAAAATTTGTGTACCATATGAAATTTGTCAGTCATATCATTTAAGTTTTAAATCCACGATAAGCAATGTGTATGTGCTATAGCTGTAAAAAAAACCCAGAAAGTATCTTGTGAAGAACAGATACTTTTCACTGAACTAGTTTGCTTCAGTGCCAGCCTGTCTTTTGACATCCATAGTCTTTGTGGCAAGAGCATTTGAATATCCCCTCATTTGAAAATACTGAAGTAATACTGTTCAGGAAGTAATTTTTTGCTTTAACAGTATGAAATAAGGAATTCTTCAGGCAAACAACATTGCTGGATACCAGTGAGCAGTATTAGGCAGTCAGTTCTGAAATAAGAACAAAATAAAGACAAACAAAACCAAGCAACACTGGAATTATAAACTTGTACAGTGTAAAAATTAATTCATTTTCAATAGAAAAAATATTCTTAGATATCTTGAACTTTTAGCATAGCTTTGTTTCAAATGATGGTTTTTCTGAGTCGAATTAAGTGGAATTTACACAATCATATGAAAAAGTTGTGAGAAACATATAATTCACATCTAGTTCTTTTCCTATACTTTCAGCGCAGTGTTATTAGCAATGTAGATTGTAAGTGTTCTGTCTAAATCTGTTTCCTGTGTAATATGCCCCATACTATGAAGGAAGGTCTAAATTTAGAGAGGTCTTAAATCTTAGATGTATTTTAACAGATATTGGAAACTGAAGATTAAGATAATTTTAAGGTGCTAGATTTATACCTATTTAGCCTTGGGTATTCATTTACCCTGAAAAATTAACTAGCTTCCTTACTAAAGCTTTTCCAAAATTAAAAAGAATAAAAGAAGAGCAACTCTCCTGAGAGTGGTGGTTGAGGAGTCTGTGTGCTGTTATTCAGTGGTTAGTAGTTTGATGTTACAGATACCTGCTAGATTTAATTAAGAAACAGCTGTCTTATGACTTAGTTTGTCCTATTGCACTAATCCCTACTCAGTGTAATACTGATTGCTTTTCTAGATAGAAAAGTGCCACTTAATACGTGACTGAAAAACAGGAAAGGTTAGAGAATTTAAGATAAAGGCAGTAATTTCTGTATTCGTCAGGTCATTTGCTTTATGTTAAAGCGTAAGAGTTATCCAATAACAGCCCTCATGCTGTGCAAGAGTTTCTCATCATGTGAAATACCTGAAGTGCATTTTCTGCTGGGCTGTTAGCTGATAGTCTTGGATTGCATGTGTTGTCCCCATGGCCACTGCTTACCTGCTTTAAGTGGAGTGAACTCAAATGGTTTAAAGGAAATCTGTGTAATGCTTGATTCTGAATACAGAATCTTGATTTATTCAGAATGGAGGACTGGTAGAAGATGGGGCATGTTGCTTGTATATAGAGCATTATAAAAATCAGGAAATACCAACTACTGTGCACTTCATATATCCTTTATGCCTTCACATTATTACTTAGTTTTAATTTTGTGAATCTTGTCTTCAGGAGCTTCGGTCACGAGAAGAGGAGTTGACAAGAGCAGCTCTTCAGCAGAAATCTCAAGAAGAATTACTGAAGCGCCGTGAGCAGCAGTTAGCGGAACGCGAGATCGATGTACTGGAGCGCGAGCTGAATATCATGATATTCCAGTTAAACCAAGAGAAACCCAATGTGAAGAAGAGGAAGGGGAAGTTTAAAAGAAGCCGGTTAAAACTCAAAGATGGACACAGAATTAGTTTGCCTTCAGGTTTGCAATTTTTTGAAAGTTCACTGTATATGTAATGATTAAATATGCTGGCTTCTTCAGTTCCATGGCTCATGTTGCAGTGTTGCCAGGTTCTTCTACTGTAATGCACAGAAGGGTTTGGTAAGAATTGTATAGCTCCCTCCCCACAAGGAAAAGCTGTCACGTATCATGTTCTCATGAAGTAGTCCTCATTTAAGCTGGAAGAATGATTCAGATAGAAGTCCATCCCATTTGGAGGGAAAGGTCACTAGCACGAGAGCCACATGATTTAATTCTGGTTCAAAGTTCAGATTTTTGTTATAATTTTTTCTGTACAGACAGAAGAGTACTTTTTAGTACATCCCAGAACTTTCTAACATAATAAAATATTAGTGCTGTTTGCCCTAAAATTGCAAATACCAAGCAGAAAAACAGTGCTTTGAGAGGGCTGGGGGTGTACAGGTGCAGTAGGTCCAAACTGCACACTTACTGCAGTTGGAAGTACAACACAGCAGTTACAGTCTTCAGTGCCTTATTGCTTGCAAGAAAACATATTAATAGCAGCAGCAGTTGATTTCAGAACACAAATATGGTATAATTTGAATGTTGGAGCATTTCATTCCGCCTATGAATACCTTAAAGTGCCCCCTTTGCAAAGGAAGCATGTTTGTAGACAGTGAGGGTCTTTCAGTTCTCAGGGGCTGCTTTAGAGAACCTTTTTAATGTTGCCACCAGATAGCACTACAGAAACTGATGGTTTCACCAATGGTTGGAAAGCCTTCATTATTATTTCAAATTCATTGCCACCATTCTGGGGTTGGTGGGCTTCTTTTCAGTGCCTTCCAGATCAAGTCTGTCAGTTTATTACAAATGCATTAAAAACATGATGCTGTGTTAAGAAAAGTCTGACCACACTGTAGCTGTCTGGTAGCTGGGAACATACAAAGGGGGCAGTAATATTTAGAGTACTATTTCAGCCTTAGTGAAATGTTTTTCCTTAATTTAAAAATAAGAGCAAATAAGATAAAAGCCACCCTACAGCCTCCTAGACAAACGTGGTAGATTTATGGTTTTTAGTTGGATTTATGCTGGATTGCAAGCTTCACTTGAATATTTGGACCTTTGTTTCTAGTTCTGCTTATATTTAACTTGAAACAGTGATAAAATAAATATTTTCATTCAAAATAGCAGTTAGCTCTTTGCTATCAAGAACATCCAGATGAACTTGTCCTTGAGACAATTCTAATAATAGTGTGCAATATAATTGCACTGATGATGGGTATTAGAGTAGCATATTAAGGTTAATGTCATAATTTTTTTCCTCCTCAATATTGTTCTTTTTTTTACTGCTTTGCTATAAATATTTGTAATTCTGTAGTTTACTGTCATGATTTTCTGACATGAATAAATGTGACTTCGTTTTTAATGCTTTTTTTAATGGTGCATATGAATTATAAGTTAAAAAAAATAAGGCTAATTTCATTGCCAGGAGTATTGATTCATTTGAGATGAAATACTGAGGGATATTTTTTGCCCCTCCTGTGATAACAAAAAAAATTGAATAATAGCCTGTGGTGTGGCTATGTCTCAGATCAGGTCCACTTAGACCTACTTGCTGTTGTTCATGTTCTTGCAAGACTGTCATGTGAAGGTGTGAAGTCCTGCCTGTTTGACTCAAAATCTAAATTATTACATTTAGAGTTTTTCAGTGTTTTTAATATGTATATCTCTTACCTGCATAAATAAATTGCATCTAATGAAATCTAATTCATTATGTAACTTTGTTTTAAGAAGTATAGCAGCATCTTCTTCTGAGAAGTTTTTTTATTCAGATCATTAAAACTGATTTGTTTTGCTCTCTTACAGACTTCCAGCACAAAATAACAGTGCAGGCATCCCCCAATCTGGATAAGAGGAGGAGTTTAAACAGTAACAGCTCTAGTCCATCAAGTAGCCCCACAATAATTCCTCGTCTTCGAGCTATACAATGTAAGTGTCCACTCGTTTGATCAAAATAGACTGTTCCATATACATACTGAAATGCTGGTAGTAGTATCAGATTCCAGGCAGATTTCTGTATGATTTCTATATCCCTTGACTGGTTCTAACAGTTGCAACTTCTTTGAAATGAGGGATAATCTGCTAAAACGCTAAATAATTTCAGTAATTCAAAATGATTGTGAATGCTTTAAATTGTATCTTAATTACTTTGGAAACCAATTTGTAAGCTAACTGGGATAAAACAACGATGAATCAAAATTTATGACAAAAGGCAAAGCATCACATTTGGAAACCAAGTAAGATGGAAAACAAGTTTTAAATTAGGTATTGGAGTTGATAAAGGAAAAGAAAGCTTCAGAGAGTAAGGGAGTCTTGTACGATGGAAAGACCAAAGAATGAGACAATAACAATTTTCTTACATAAAAAGAGAATCAAGGTTTAAGCAGGTATAAATCCAGAAGAAATCATGCTTTAGGTTTTTCAAAGATAGGAAAAAGAGACCAAAAAAAAAAAAAAAACTGTGGGTACATTTATAGGTCTACATTATTATGTATACTAATAACAGAAAGGAAGGTATGTTCAATCTCACATAGTGGAGGTACCAAGAATACGATCATGTTATTACAGAGAAGCATGCATTTATATTTGGGAATGACACAAACACAGATAAAACAGTTCCTACAGGATTCACTGCTTGCATTTGTACTGTCTGATCTATTGTGCAAAGGAGATTGTCTAATTATCCATATTCAGGGAGGAATGCCTTAAGCTTCTCTCTCTTAATGAAATCAGTGGAACCTGTTCCAGCTGATTGCTCATGGATGTTGGCTATCTTCTCTTGCAAGCACAGTCACCTGTGAGGAAGATTGCTTCAGAATGTGCCTTTTGTCGGCTATAAATGAGAAGGGGAAACCAGAATGCATGAGGATTTTTTTCCATACTTTTCTGTAGTTGGTCTGTAAAGATTGATTTTTTTTTTTTTTTTTTAACTGGCCTGACGCTGTTTAAAGTTTGGATAGAAATCAGATCTCTCATCTCCTTTGTAACACCTCTGCATTATGAAATCCTTTTCATTGTTAATGTCTAAAGGGAACCAGTGATGTCTTCACTGCCACTTCAGTATTTGTTTGAGCTGTAGTGGATACAGTTGGCAACATTGTGGGTAAAGGAGAGAGGTGGGCAAACCCTGTCTTGCTTTTCACAATGAAAATTTGAGATGGAAGGAAAATCAATTGGAGTCTTTTTCAGATGTTAGCTGACAGAGTATCTTGACAGACAGTTGTATCCTGACAGAGTATGTTGTCAATAGTTTCCTGTCCTCAAAATGTGGTGGGATTTTCTGGTTGGTTGGTTGGCTTTGCTATTTTGCAGAAAGGTGAAGAAAAGCTTTTCTTAGTAAAATGTCATAATTACGTCTAAATTATCTCATTTTATCTTTGATTTTTCTTGCTCTGCGAGGAAATGCTTGGAAATGAAGCAAATGTAAGGTATCGGCATGGTTCTGAAAACTTGAGTTTTCTGTGTTTGATTTTTTAATTGCATAGCCTTGTGTAAGCTATTGCAGTGCAACTCCTTGCATGTGTGCTAAGTGCCACTGAGGATTTTTTTCTTTTTTTACTTGAGTAGGCATTTGTATTCATAGGGCTTGAACACACAGGACAACACAAAGGCTCTCACTTAAAAGAAATACATGTCTGTTTCTGAGTTTGGATCCTTAGGTTTTTACCTAAAAGCTTATCAGATATCTCAGGAGTATCTAGCTGAAACAATTTAGCTTCCACACCCATCTGCACCTGTGCAAAATAAATTCCCTTTCCCACAATAACGTTTTATCTTGATTTAACTTCAAAGTGTCTTTGTGTCAAGATGACTTGCTCAAATACAGGTGATTTGAAACAGGCATATACTGGTTACTTGACTGCTTCACTTTGTCTTGAGGAAGTCTAGCTTTCAAATCTAAATGTTAAGTTAAAAGAAAAATCTAGTTGATTTCTTATTAAAACAAATTCTGCTGATTTTGAAAGGAGTTTTAGAGGGAGAAGGAAAACCACTAAAGTACATATTCCATAGGAATGTGGTTGAAAATTAGAGTGTAAGGTAGGCAAATGTAGTGCCGCACTACAGGGTGAGCTTTGTGGGTGAGGTGTATGGTGAGGAAGGAGGAGAATCTGTACAGTGAAGGAACAGCAGAACCATGGATGTGTAAATGCCCCCTCATTTTTCATGCTGTTATAACTGGCTACATTGTTTTTCTCCTAGGTCTCTCCATCATATCTTTAAGCATGCCATCATGATACCAAGCTAATGCTAGTCGGTGGCATGTGAAAATCTACCCTCCCAAGCTGGGTCCTAGAAAGAGGATCCTTTAAACCTTACCCATCATTAGAAGATGCTTAATGCCTTTATAGATCCAGGCTTTATGACCCAAAGAAAAAAAAATGAGGAAAACAGTTCTGTTTCTGAAATCAATTTGACTAAGATCTCTACTACGTTCTCTTAATTTTTCCTCAGTGATTCCAAAAACAGATACACACACAGCTAATGGCCGAAGAAACAGTGTATATGTGTACCAGCAAGATGTAGATATCACAAGTGAATATGAACTTCCCTGTGGGGTTATGAAAAAAGGCAAGATTTCATTATGTTTCCAAGGTGCTGGTTCTGTTTAATTTATCAGCTGAGACAGTGACAGACTAAGCATTTAATGGAGGCTAGACACTTTAAAGTATAATCTGTTTTGGTGTAGTGAGAAAGAAAACATTAACCATGGTCACAACTGGAATATTCTGTTTCTTTTGATACCAGTTGTCCACAGAATATATTTTATTCACTGAACTTAAGTGCTCAGTCTAATTCACTTGTCTGAATTACCTGAATATAAGGTTCTCAGTTAAAGAAGCATGGAAAATGTGATTGCTTTGCTGCTTTCTCTTTAATCTGGGCCTCTTGACAGCTCATAAATTACTTTTCTTTCTTGCTCATCTCTTTGGATCAATGAAGTTTGTGTGGTGCTTTTTGTAAAAGAAAAAAATATTCTGCTTTGTTTTGGTTTTAGAAATAGTATTTATGTGTGTGGGTTTTGTGTTTTTAAATCCAAACTCCAGTAACTTCAGATGAGAGCAACAGAACTTGGGGAAGGAGCACAACATATCATCAAGAAGAGTTTGAAGATGTGAAGAGAAGTTTTAAAAAGAAAGGTTGTACATGGGGACCAAGTTCAGCTCAAACAAAGGATCGTGCAGATTGTAAGGACAAGTATGTCTACTACATTTTGTTTTTTTGATAATACTAAAGCATTCTTGGTAGTGACATAGATAGCGAGTGAAAAAAGTTCTGCTATCTCTAGTTACAGCAAGAACTCCTACCTTTTAACTAATATAGAAATTGCATTACTGATAAGTAGCTCCTCCACTTAGTCTTGAGGATAAAACGCCTACTTATGTTAAAGTTTTATTGATTCTTATCTCTGGGGTTTTTTTGAGACTTGGAACATACTGGGATGCTGAGCTGCCAGTGCATACCAGACATTCATGGTCTGTCTTTCTTATCCTTCCCCACATTATTTTGAGGAATTGCAAGCATGGCCCCCACTGGGTACTTTCAGTATAATTAAGTAAGACTGACTGATTTGGCAGGAACAGTTCACACCAGCAACATCCTTTATGCTGACAAACAGAGGGTGAAAGCGTAATGAAAATCAGCTAGACAGCTTTACTTACAGATTATGTTTTCCCATGGCTCAAAACTAGAGATAGTAATAATTCCTTTCTTTATTTCTCTAGTATATACAATTATTTATTGTGTCTTTCTTTATTTTTCTTGATAGTCTCAGTTAGGAGTGTTAAGAGTTGGTTCCAGATGATCAGTTATATTTTGCTTTATATTATTTTTGTTTGTTTAAAAGTTACTATGTTTAATCGACTTCCAATATTCACATCATTTCTTTGAGACAATGAAACTATTGTTCAGGTTTTCACAAATCTGTATTGTTCAATAGGTAATGAAAGCCAATTTTTCATTGGCTTTCTTTTTTGGCATGAAATTTTTATCATAAAAAAAATACCTGACATTAAGGCATGTTTACATTGATAATCATATGATTCAATGCTACTCCATCTTCTTTTTACCTTTGGAAAGATTTTCAAGTTATGTACTGCAAGTTTATTGCTTGAAAATAAAGTAATTTCTCACAAAGCTTATGTGAGTATGGTATCTGTAATCTCAAAATAACTATTGTTATTGCAGAGTAAGACCCCTTTCAGATGGCAGCAACCCTTGGTCAACTGTTTTAATGAAAAATCAGAAGAGTGTTCCCTTAGCTTCACTATTTGTGGACCAAGGTAAGAGCAATTTTTGAAAAAGTGACAGTATATAATAGTATTAATATTATATTATATTATTATATTATTAATATAATAGTATTACGATTACCTCCAATGTTATAAATTGTATTGCTTGAATTCTTTATAGGATTATTCAGATTATTATAGGAAAAATCATGCTGCCAACCATTTTCCTCTGCAAAAAAACCCTGTATTTACATCATTAGCAAATGAGAAATACACAGTCTGTGAACAGAACCATATAGAGATTTTTCCATGTTTTTAGTTGCAAGCTACGCTGTATATGAGGTCTGCTGTCACCACTTTTTTGTTTCTTTTAAAAAGAACCTAAATCAGTAATTGTCTTGACATTTAAGTGATCACTGATGACATTGTTGTGAGATCTGCATCATTGTTGCAAAAATGCAGTTTTTTAAAAACCTATAAGCCCTGATATATTTATAGATATTAGTTCCCTGTTTTTTGAATGAGATCTATTATCTAGATTTTCAAGACGGAAATATAGATTTCAAATCTTATTGTTTACAGGTAAAATCACAGTGAAGAGCATACTTGATCCCTTTAGGATCAGGAACATAATAGCGGCATGTTGCTTTTTACGACCATTACTATGATGGGCTGTGACAATAAAATATTCATAATAATTTTAAAGTTTTCACACCCTTTTTTCTATACTGTGGATTTTCTTATCTGAGAAAATTAAGTTACCAGTGTCAGGAAAAAAGCCTGTGATATAACCTAATGTACGTACCAACAGCTAGACCTGGAAGAAGAAATACTAAGCTGCTTGGACACTTCTGGAAAAAGGCATTTTAATCTTCATGTATAGTGGTAGGGGTATAAATCAAAGCTTCACAAATAGTAATTTTATAGATTTATTAGCTTACTACTATAACCCTGCACACAAGGTTAACATACTTGAATTTCAAATACTTCTGTGTTTATTCTCTAGCCTTCAGTAATTTATAGTAGAATAACGCATGCAAGTCAAATAATACCTCCTTTTTATTTGTCATTGGGTGTAAGATGTCAAATTTACTTTTTATTCCAGACCACCATGACCTAATGAATTAATTCAAAAAAATTCTAATAACTGACTGGATTTTGGAACTCAGCTGAATTGAAAGTATTGTAAAGAATATATTGCAGATCTTATCTGACAGTTTGTGTATAGTAAATTACTTCTCTGTAATCCCTACACCAAAATATTTTCTGTGTTATTTAAAAAACATTATCAAAGTGTTGCAAACACCACGTAGTTTCTGAAACTCAAAATTTGAGTTTGAGCTGTCAGCATCTAATTGGATTGTACAGTATCCTTCAAGGCTGATACTTGTACATTTTAAAGGAAATAATGATGTACATATGCGGACATGCAATAAAACAGTTGAGTTGCAATCTTAAAGAATACTGTGATGTTTTACAGGTGCCTGTACTGATAAGAAACTTATCCCTGAAGGTTTGGACAGTAAAAGACCAAAGCCAATTAAGTTGCCCAATCAGGCCTATATTAATCTACCTCTTTGGAAAGATGATCAGGGAGAGAACACAGTAGAACACGAGAGCTTTGAAGAAGGAACCTCTGCTAGTTCTACAAACAGTACTCCTCAAATGACACCTACAAACAGTCTGAGCAGGACACTGCACAAAAAGAAGACTGATTCAGTGCTCTATGGGTGTGCTGTCCTCCTTGCATCTGTTGCCTTGGGCTTAGATATCAGAGAGCTGAATAAATTGCAGGGTCCAGATGAACTCTTGCCTAAAGATGAGAGGAAGAAGCGTGATGGAATATTTCAGCGTGCTTCAAAATTCCGCAGGAGTGCCAGCCCTACACGACTGCAGTCCAAGAAAGAGGAAACAAGTATTCCATGCCTAAATCCAGCTGCAGATACTGTGAATCTCCTCTCTATGCCCTCCGTTTCCACAAAATGCCTACTTCAACCTGATGGTGAAGATGCTTTTGTAAGCACTGTGCTTGGTGATTGTGGTCGATGTAGTTCCACTGACAATTTTTCATCGCAAACTTCTGAAAGTAAGAGAGAACAAAGGATACAGCTGGCTCCTAACACCGCTTCGACACAATTGAAAAATCAGACTTTTAGTCTTGGTCTGAAACAAGAGTCTCAAAACGTGCCAAAAGATTCCTCCACAAAGTTAAGTATGTTGGGTCACAGACGAACCTTATCAGATGGGAACCATTTTCAGACCACAGGTAGGTAATTAAGGACTTCTATGAATCCTTAAACTACTGATAAAAATTTAAGTGTAAAATAATGTCTTAAAATCTCGTTTACATTTAAATGGATAAGCTCATGATCAATGAGTTTTTGAAAAGAAGTTCTAAATGACAATACTGGTATTCTGGAGTGGCTTAAATGTTACATTCTTCATGATACTCTGTGCATGTGTAATTCCTCATAGTAACCAGAGAATTTCATGGGACTTCATTCCAGTATTAATATTAATCCAGTTATTGGGCAGTTAGTGCTTTTTCTCTACATCTCTTGTAGCAATAAAAACTAAATTGTGATTGTCTGTTGCAGTGAGTCTAGATGCAGACACAGTACTTGAGCACCACTGGTCTTGTCTTAGGAGATTCCCCACAATGTACAAACCTTTTCATTTTTCTGGTGGAAGAAAAGTCACTAGTGTTCATGGCAACCCAGTTTTACAAATGGCAAAGAATTCAAGAAGTCACGTTGTTTAAATCTGCATTTTTTTGTTTGGGCTTTCTTTCCCCTAGCTAACGGAGTTGCTTCAACCCATGATGTCTCCAGACTCCCAGTCCTGTCAGTTCCTGGAACTCTGCCCTCCCCATCTTTTCAACAAAGAAGCAATCACAGTGGTGTTTCAAATGAAAAGCAGAGCGCTGTGAATACTATCTCAAGGCCTCGACCTTCTTCTCTAAGAAATAAAATCGATGCATGGCAGATTATTCCACGTATGATTAAACCAAACTCTAAAGACTCTGAATGTTTAGAGGGCAATGTAGATCCAGGTGTTAACTTTTTGCCAGATATTGAGGAAAGAACTAACTGCCACATGCCCTCGTTACTTGATATTGATGTGGAAGGTCAAAATAGAGACTGTACTGTGCCTTTATGCAGAATGAAGAGCAAAACTTGTCGGCCATCTATATATGAACTGGAGAGAGAGTTTCTGTCCTGAGTGCCTTTCATTTTAAAAATGTTTTCTTCACAAAGGGGAACAAACATAAGATTCCTGTTCGTCTAACACTTTGTGCTGCTGTTTTCTGATGTACTGTGACAAATAGTACCAAAATTATTAAAATGGGCAGCTAATTAAGTGTTGTAGGTGCCTTTTTTCAAATGTTCATTGAAATCCCAGCTAGTAACTCTAAAAGCACAATGCTGCAAATCGTATTCTAGGTGAACTTTGTAAGTATATTTTGAATGATTAAAATAAAATGCCCACCTCCCTCTGTTGTGTCACAGAAGTTTTCTTTAGGTTTGAGAGGTTTTGCTAGAAATTTAATTTTCGCACGTTAAAAAACAAATGAGATCTAGAGTGAGGTTGCATTCTGTCAAGAAGAGTTTCACCTAAGAAGTGGTGGTCTGTGGTTTGTAGGTTCAGGTAGAGGGACAAGGGGTTAAAGGTTCAGGTACAGGAGGCTCTGTTCACTCCTCATTAAAGAGGTGGTTACTTGCTGGCATTTGATATTGAAATTGGTTAAGAACCAGCAGCTGAATTTGCAGTTTTTGCCCTTGGCTGTTGTGTGAACTTTCTTAGTTTCTCCAGAAAGTTACACTGCTTGTATAAACATTTCAGTTTCAGCCACCATATCGATTTGAGAGGGTAAACTTCAGTATTGCGATTGGAGTAAAGGTATTTGACATGCTTTGTAATGTGAAACAACATTCCTTGTAGGTAAGGATACACTGGAACGTAAATATTTGTACTCTTAACCTTTGAAGACTACAGTGTTTGCACTGAAAGCAATATTCTTGGGTTTGAATTTTTTTGTTTGTGGTAGAGGGGTTTGTCCCCTTTCTTTTTTTAAAGTCTGCTGCACCTTGTACTGAAGAAAGATGGTGGTTTTTAAGGATAATTGGTTTTAAGTGAGCCAATGGTGCATTTTATTGCACTTAATTTTAAAACTGCTATAATTTAATATTAAATCGTTCAGTATAATCTCTCTAGTTTTTCTTCCTAAAGTACTACTGAGTGCCTGCTTACTCATATTTTGGAATCACACGACAGAAACAGATGTGCTTGACTGATTTCAGGGATAGAAAGTTTCCAGAAAATTCCAAGTAGTTCATTGTGGGGGGAGGAACATTTATCTTTGACACTGGTAGTTTAATTTTTTACAGTATCACTAAGTGAATGATTAAATAAAACCAAATGTACAGTATACTTTCCCTGAGAAAGCATTTTTAGAATTAAAGGAACATCCCTCATTTTCCAGTATTTGAAGTATTAACTTTTCAGATCATTCAACATTTTTATAATTTTCCTAAATAAATTTAGATAATTTTAGACTAAAACTACTGTGTTCCCATCAGAATACTGTTTTGTTAAGACCTGTGTTTAAGTCTTTTCTTCTCCATTACTCTGGGGTCTGGGAGTTCAAATAGAATGCATAGTTGCTTAAAGCCTCAAAACCAAGGGATTAAAAAAGAAAGTTTCTGTTCTAAGACTATATGCTCTACAGTGTCCACCTTGAAGATGACATACAATTATACAAACAAAATCACGAAGTCTTAATCACACGGAGCAGAACACAGAAAATGTAACTTCTCAGCTCTCAAAGTGCAAATAGAAAATAATTTCCTTAAAGTATTAGTTTACCAGAAGTAAAGACAAAACCACTAGTTGACTGTAAATCTAAATGCTTGCATAGTAAATTGTTACATTTTCTTCAAACCAGTTCCCGTCACTGTATTCTTAGTTTACTGTCAACATGATTCAAGTCACATACCTGTTCTATGTCTTCTGTTTCAACTTTAATTGAATCAGAACACTTTAATAGATTGTACAAAATGTTTTCATAAAATAAAGTCGTGAATGAAATTTTAAGTATAGATTAATAGCACATTTACTTTCAAGGCTTAATTAGAATTTTTGAGCATTATGTATATTTCAATTCTTTCTTGATCAATTACTCCTGTGTAATACTGAGAGAAAAGGAGCTGATTGTATTACATGTTTCTGAAGAAAGTATCTCTATTTGGCTTTCTACAGGAAAATCTCAGGTGCTGAAGTATTTTTACTTGTAAACTTCTGTTAAGTTCTGTATTTTTAAGTTTGATATAATTTTAATGTTGAATTTTGCACCATATGTTTTGTAATCAATAGTATCAGCATAAAAAGCTCTTTGAGCTATATTGTTTTCACTTATTAGTGGCTTATCTCTCTTGTAGTAAACAAAGATTTCTATTCCTGTTCAATGGATAATTTCCTGTAAGATTGGGACATATGATATGGCCAGCCCAGTGCATTCTAAGTAATTTAGGAGTTTGTATTTCATCTCTTATTCTGAGACAGTTTAGGTAAGCCATCTCAAATATTTCTCTGATGTGATGCAGTTTTTTTAAGCTGTAGTCTGTAGTGCTTTATAATTGTTTTTATGGTTTAAAATTATAGGCCAGTCTTCACTGTAATTGAAAAGAAAAAGCAATTCTTTCAATCATGGTTTCTCAACATATCACCTGATAAATTTTCTGTAAAGATATGAAAATCTGGTATGCATTAAGTGACCTGTCTTGGTTAAAAGTATATTTATTTCAATGTAGGTTGATAGCCTGACCAAATAATAATTTATGTTGATTGTTTTAGCATAAAACTGAAGGTGCTTACACTGCAAAGATTAAGATAAACACTTGATATACTGTTTTACAAAACCTGATGATTTAAATGTTTTTATTTAAAGAATAAATGTTTTGTAGCTACTGTATTGCAAAGTGACCTGAATTTTCTTGAAAAATATATTTTAATGTTTTTCTTAACATGTACAAAGGAGCTCTCTAGTGAATAACCAGGTGCTATAGACTATGGCCAGCCTGTTCTTGGAAGATTTTAATGTAATTGTTACTCTAAGATTAAGAATCCAGTACAGTAACATGAACATTCCTGTAATGTCTTGCACATGGTGTGCAGAAACATTTGGCATAAGCTTGTTTTTTTCTTTGATGTGACCATAATATTCTTTTGATGCTTTTTCCAATGTTGGCTGCATGTCTTAGAGGAGATAGAGTAGTGGATATAAATAAACTCAGCATCTGATTCAGCATCAAGAATACAGGTAAGTAATAACAGCCTTCTGTTGTGGGATTTTTGTTGGGAGAGTCCATTTGTTCTTTGGGAGATTTGGTACTTTGAGGTTTTTTGTTAGGTTTGTGGGGGATTTTTTAGGGAAATTAAGCCAGTGTTTTCCTTATAATATTTTTAATGTGTTTTATTAACTTCCCTCTTCCTTGATCAAGTCATGGATGCATTAGCCCATTTTTCGGTTAGGAAAATCCATTTGCACAGTGACAACAGGCAAGGTACAGTGACATTCAAATAGAAATATATTGAATTGTATATTGAATTTATAAGGTTGCAAGACCAATCTTATAAAGCCATGCCTGCACTCAGCTTGTAGTTAGACTGGCTGCATAACAAATATTTATGTGGCCTGTGAGTGTCAGTATGGAGCCCAGATTGTAAGCCAAGCTGCAGAGGCCGTTTGTTTTATACACAGTTATAATGGTAATACAAAGATCGGCATACAATTGTGAGATAATAGAAAAACACCACAGTGTCACCAGCCACCTTTCTTTTCAATGTAATGGTGTATGCACTATGAGGAGCTAAGGAGACTCTGTTACCTAATACATTTTTGATGCACCTGGTAGTGCTTAAGATTTTAGTATTAGGTATTCTAAATTAGGTCCAGAGTCTTTGCAAGGACGTAGTGGAATTCTTGGACAAACCAAGTGTGAGTCAGTTTTCTCAATGCTAACAGAAACCCAATATGCTTGGTATAGATAGTCTGATAAAATAGTTTCTTTAACCAAAATAAATGCTTTTTCATCTGGTAAGTTGCAGAATGGAATACAGAGCTATGTAGGTAGGGTGGTTTTACTTTTTAAATCAAAGAATCACAGGGTCTTTTTGGTTGGAGGAGATCTCTAGAGATGAAACAGTCTATGTCCACTGAAGGTCTGGGTATCTCCACAGATGGAGACTCCACAGATTCTCTGGGCAATCTGTTCCAGTGTTTTACCATCCTCACAGTAAAAACATTTGCTCACAGTCAGATTGAATTTCCTTTAATTGGGGGCTTTTGGGTTGTTTTGTTTTTTTCTTGTTGATTGTTTTTGTTGTTGGTTGTTTGCTTTTTCTTCTTCTTTTTGTTTGTTTGTTTGTTTGTTTGTATCCATTGCCTCTCATCTTGTCGCTGGACACTGCTGACAAGAGTCTATTTCTCTCTGTATCCCCTGTTATCATGTATTTATATACAACGATAGTAAGATCCTCCTGGATCCTCTTCTCCAGACCCAGCTCTCTCAGCCTTTCCACAGATGCAAGCGCTTTGCCAGTCTTTGTGGTGCTGCGCTGGATTTGTTTTACTTAATCCATATCTTTCTTGTACTGGGGGGCCCAGAACTGGACCCAGCACTCCAGGTGTGGCCTCACCACTGCTGAGTAGGATGACCTCCATCAATCTGCTGGCACCATAATTAATGCAGAAAACTGTTGGCTGCCTTTGCTGTAAGGACATGTGGCTGGCTTCGTTCAGCTTGTCATCCATCGGGATTCTCAGGTCATTTTCTGCAGAGCTGGTTCCCAGATGGTTGGTCAACAGTGTGTACTGGTGTGTGGACTTGTTCCTCCCCAAATGCATTTTTATTTCATGAGATTCCTCTAAGCCCAGTTTTCCAGTCTGTCCAGGTCTCTCTGAATGGCAGCACAACTATCTGGTGCATCAGCCACTCCTGCTATTTTGGATTGTTTGTAAACTTGCTGAGAATACACCCTGTCCCAACGTCTGGGTTGGTAGTGGAGATATTAAACCGTATCAGCTCTTGTATCAACCCCTAGGGTACTCAGCCAGTGACATTTAAGCAAGTTATAATTAAAACTATCTCATATTTTATTCATACAATCTAAAATATTTTTCCTAAGTGATTTTGGTAATTGAAATTCTTCAATTACTTTTTTATTTCTTTCCATTTCAAAAATAAAGACATAATGACCGTTCTCAGATTTAGGCCTTAGTGAATTGCTTCAGTAGTTGAGATTTGGCATCAGGATGGCCTGAGTTCAGTGTTGCTTGATGTAACAGCTTAAATCTGTTCGAAATACTTGCAGTTTGCTTTAGAAGCAAAGTCATCAATTCACCCCAGGTGACCAAATTAGTCAAACTTCAGTCAGGTGTCACATTTGGTGTTACTTTGAGTCGTCATTAATATGTCTCATGCTTTGCAACAGTGCTAAATGTACTTCTAAAACAACATTTGTTGTACATCTGGGAACCTCAGTCTTTGCTTCCACCA